GCTTCATTCATAATACACTCTCTTGCTAACGCGAGTTCAAGATTGACTAATAAATCTGCAGTCTTATCTATCTGGTGAAGAGAGTTTTGTGCCTGTATGTATTCCTACTCACTTGATGCAATCATTAAAGCAGTAGTAAGCCGCAAAAAATAAATCTTCTCCATGCAAATTAAGAGCATAATGTGCTAGTATGCATCACATACTAGCACATTCTGAAAGACTTACCTGAAAACAAAGCCCTCCATCAGAGCACTGTTATGACTCTCGGGGGCTTACGTCTTCACCCAGTATTCCTTCCAGGTTCTTGTGCTGCAGCTGTTTGACTGGCTGAAGCGCGGTGAAGTCACTCCCGCATATGCACATGGGAGTCTCAGCTGCGACACAGGTTCTCTCAATGGACGGCACACCGTCCATTGAGAGAGCAGTGCGCATGCGCCAGTGATATCACCAGCGCTGCTAAAGTAAATATCTCCTAAATGGTTCACGTTTAGGACCTATTCACAGTAGCCAACCTGACCCCCCAAAAAAAAACACAGTTCACTATGCTTCAGTTATGAACACAGCAAGAGATTGGTACCGATCACTCGTTGTGTTCATTTAGGAAGGGCAGGTGATAGGGAAATTGAATATTTCCTAATCACAAATATCTAATAAGCCTCTAATATCCTGGTTATTCTGGTTACCTTAAATACCAAAGGAATGTGACAGTGGTACCTCGGTTTACGAATGCCTCGGTTAACGTAATTTTCGGTTTATCAATGAAAATCCATTTAAAAAAATGCTTTGGTTTACAATTTTTTTTCGCAATACGAAGTGTATGTCGGTGCTGATTTTTAAATGCAATTGCCAGCTTTTTTTTTTCTTCACTATAACCCACAAGATTAGCTGTCACTTTCCCCGGACTTACAGGAAACTTTGTTTCTTTTAAGAAACTAAAAGGAAACATTGTTTCCTTTAACTTGGGGAAATAAACTAAAAGAAAACTCTCTCTTTTAGCTGGGGGGGAAAGTGACAGCTGAATTTCTTAGCTATAGTGAAGAAGAAAAAAAATGCGGTAATTAGATTTAAAAACCAGCACCATAATAAATTAAAAAAAAAAAAGTGGCGTGGGGTCCCCTCTCCCATCCATACCAAGCCCTTCGGGTCTGGTATGGGTATTGAGGGGAACTCCCAAACCAACATCCATACCAGACCCTTACCCGAGCATGCAACCCAGCAGGTCAGGAAAGGAGGGAGGTGGGAAACGAATGAGCGCCCCCTCCTGAACCATGCCTGGCCACATGCCCTTAACATGGGGGGGTGCTTTGGGGCAGGGGGGCTCCCCCACAAAGCACCTTGTCCCCATGTTGATGGGGACAAGGGCCTCTTCGCCACAACCCTGGCCAGTGGTTGTGGGGGTCTACGGGAAGGGGGCTTATCGGAATCTGGAAGGCCCCCGGATCCCGCCTCCTCCTATGTGAATGAGTACGGGGTACATGGTACCGCTACTCATTCACAAAAAACAAAAAGTGTAGTGTGAAAAAAGACAGGACACAGTCTTTGACAAGTCCTTTATTAAAAAAAAAAAAAAAAAAAAAAAAAAAAAAAAAAAAAAAAACACTAAAAGAATGTCCCCCGCAGTAGATCCAACATCAATCACGATGCCACCCACCCACAGAAAAAAAAAAAAGTTCCGTGCCCGACAATGGCTGCCAGACATCTGTCTCTGAGCTGGCTTGACAATTCTTAAATATGTAAGAATATTTGCAGGCCTAAGGAGGAACTGTACAGAGCGTGACGTCATATACCCGCCTGGAGCCACGAGGAGGCCACGAGGAGGCCCGGCGTTTTACACCACTGGGGTCAGTACTGCATTGTCTATCATATGCATTTCACATTTTCATGATGTACCATATGCATACTGCCCTGCTGCTGTTTTTATTAATAAACCTGAGATTTTGAACATACTACACTATTTTGGGCATTTGTTTTCTGGGGCTCCTGTCTGGAGCTTTCACTCCCATAGAGAAAGCACTTTTGCCATCCTGAGAGGAGGTTTCTCCTGAAGCACCTGGCTTACCTTAAGGGGATCCCCCGGACCTGTAACAGGAGTCTGTGATGACCCACCGTGAGGGAGACGCCTGGCTGCCTGGATTCTGATGTTCCCATTGCCCGTGATGCATAATCACACATGCGCATAACCCATGCGTTTCCGGTGAGTGCGCATTTCTGTTACTCTGACAAAGTGGAAGCCGCAGGAATCCGTATCTCTACAGTTCACCATTGTGATACCAGATTATCACTATATTGACTTTTCATCCTTCTTAGCGCTGCACTTCATTATTTAAGTTTGATTGTTTATATTTAAGGCATTATGGTTGCCTAATGTGTTCTAGCTGCTGACATCTATTAGAGCGCTCACTACCTATTTCATTAGCACATGGTTGTCACTACTAAAATACCATGACTTAATAAAATAACTCATGCAGTATTTTAGTAGCTTAATCCAAAATAAAATATAAATGGTGCAGCGCTACTAGTATACAGCCAGCACTAAAAATACATGCAAATAAATAAGTCCAAACTGCATGGGTGAATGACCCCCTAAGTGGATATATAACATAAATGACAAATATCAATATCAATCACTGATGTCAAGGTGCCAAAGTGCCACGCACTTAATAGGTGACTAAAGGGTGATGAATCAGTCCACTTTAAGCACACATGTGAGAAAACTCTTCTTACACGTGGATGTGTCATGCGTGCCAAACAAATCCCAAAATGGTCTGAGTGCCCCCTCACCTCCTTGCAATGACCTCAAGGGCCAACCAGCGTTTTCTACTAGTATTCAATCTCCTGCAGATCCCCTCAATATAACCGGAATGACAGTAGCTTTATCCAGACCTCTTCCTGCACTCCACCGCTCCGGCAACACCTCTAGGGTCCACTCAGAGACACAAGGGAAACAAGCTCCATAGTGCAATATTGTCAATTTATTAAAATGAAAATTAAAATACCCACTCACATGTTAGCAGGTAACAGCAAACATCCTCAGTTGTCCTCATAACATGTGGCTTCATGGAGTCCCAATATGGCGCGGGGGCGGGAAATGACGTCACCGCGTCCCGGAAATGACGATGGACGTACCAACGCGTTACGTCACGAATATCACGTGACTTCATCAGGGTTTAAGTATTTGTGTGATCTCTCTTTGCACATATCGAATGCAACCCCAAGGAGCTGGTAAATGTGACATATTTACCAGAACCTTCCCCACTCTCCGTCCTGCAGGATCCCATTGTGTGCTTGCAGCTGCCGGAGGTAAAGAGAGGAGGAAAGCCGGCAGCACTGTGGGAGTGGGGACACATGGGAGGCCTGGGCAGCAGGGGGAAATGTATAGTGTAAAGGGAGGGTGATGGCTGCGTGGGGTGGGGGGAATTACTGCAACCGATCCCTTGTATGGCTCTCTCTGCAGCAGCTGAAAACTATTGGGAGGGAGAGGAGAAGCCAGGTTTCAGCTGCTATAGGGGAATGGTTACAGTAATTGCTCCCCCCCCCCCCCCCGCTATGCCGATCACCCTCCCTACCCATATCCAATTACCAAACTGCCTGGGCCCTGTACAGGAGGTCTGGTGGTACCACCTTTTCCATTGCCCTGCCTAAAGGTAAGCCATAATAAAGGCTTACCTATAGGTAAAACATGAAAAAAAGACTTTACTACCATGATTGCGGTCCAAATGCCCTACCTAAATGGATGTGAGAAAAACTGTGCAAGTAGGCCAAAATCATCCATGTCTGGAGTATCAAAAAAAAATTCAAAACAGACATTTTTATAGGAAGTTTTTAATTCACATCTCATTTACATTTACAGTGGGCTCTCTGCTACCTCCCAAATCAAAAAAATATTTTTCTTCTCATATGAATTTTTATGTGTTTTTCTTCATTGGCTGATTGGAGGTAGGGTTTTTAAAAACACTGCACAGCAAGGAGCATTATAGTCATTAGAGGTGGATATAGCCAAAAAGCTTTATGATCAAATGATCTCAGAAGTATTTCAACCATTTCCCTTCCAAACCATTTTGTCCACTGCCTTCTTCCAGAACAATGCCCGAGCTGTCATTGACAGCTCTTAGTAAGGGCTTCTGATCAGGAGCCAGTGGGATGGGCTTCTGATCATGTGACCACTCTAAGACCCAATCACACCAGTCAAAGTATACCGATGCAGAGCTGCCTCGCAGGCATTAGGCCCACTTAAAGTATAAATTCACCTTTTTGACAAAAATCATAAATGCAAATTTTTTTGCAGGTAGAAAAAAAAAAAAATGTGCATTTATTATTTTTGTCTGCAGGAGCCTGGAAAGCATTGCACTAGGAATCAGATGGCTGGTAGGGCAATCTGATTGCTAGTGCTGTGGTAGTTCATTGAAAACTACAAGTTAAGGCTCCTGGGACTTGTAGCCCCGCAAGGCTGCGCTGTATTGTTTTCAAATCATACGGGGAAAAACGGGGGGGGGGGGGGGGGGGGGTTCTCAACGGGCACGACTGCAGCTATGGGAATATGTTAGATGTTCCATCCTAAAATCGTGTGGAACATGCAACATGTTTCCATAGGTGAACGTCTCCTTTAAAGCACTGCTGGAGGCAGCAATAAAGGGTTAATCACTGTCCTGAGTTTAGGAGACTTAAATCATATTCTTGGTAAAGCAATGTGATGCAGTACCAACAAGATTTATACAAGTCATTCTAGCATTCACCATAACTTCACATATCACAAGGTAAACCGCGGTCTGTAATCCATAAGCACAAGTAGGAATTCCTCTGTAGGCCAAACTTATGTCCTTGTAGTCTTGGAACAGAAACACTCTGATGGCTAATGTCAAGGCAGGGATATTTAGACTGCTGCTCTTCTGTACTCTGTTCTCTGGATCCCCATTACTGGATGCAGTTTATCATCTTGAATTCCATGGAGATTTCTGAGCTATATTCTCGTTAGTTTCCGCAGCAGCCTGAAGAGCTTTCATGATCCGCTCATTTTGTAGGTGTATCTCAGCCATTTTAGCGGGATGTAGTTTGGCTTCTTGCTAGAATGGAAAAAACAAAAAGAATAAAGTGTGTTTCTAACCAAAGCTTTTTCTTTAACCCCTTGGCGCCGGCGCCTCCCAGCCCTTTAAGGGTTTCAGAAGCCGGGGGGCGGGGTTTTAGGGTCATTTGACTGCCGTGATTCGCTGTCACGGCGGTCGCATGATTGGGAAAAGTCCCGATCGCAAGAGATCGGGACCTTTCCGTGAGTACCCGACATGTGTGCTGGAAGCGTGCCATGCACTCTCAGCACATGTTTTTCTTAATTGCACGCAAATGTGCGGCCGCTTGGCATCAAGGACCAGACGCTGGGAGGCTGCACATTTGTGTGCGGCCAGCACCAAGAGGTTAAGCATAGAACACAAACGGGAAAAGGTTTAAGTGTTACTAAACCCGGGACACTGTATATCTGGTCTCCCACAGTACACAAAACATGGAAATCAGGGTGGATAAAAATCAATGATTTAAAAAAAAAAAAAAAAAAAAGATTTTTTTTTTTTTATTTAAATCGGATTTTTTTTTATTTAAATCGGATTTCTTTTAATAAAATGCTTTTTGAGGAAAATATATTACCATCCAAAGGTTATTCCATCATGAAATAAAGATTAGTTTTTTAATTATGTAGAATAAGGCTGTACATGTTTATTTTTTTTGGTAAATAAATTCCATGAATCCATTCACAATGTCATGCTCTTCCAGAGGTTTTTGTAAGATTATTGGGCAGTTTCTCTGCCTACAAGATATCATCACAGATGCTTGGTTTACTTTTGCAGTTCTCAAAACTGAATTTGACTCAGCGGAGATCACATGCCTCTTCTTCACAGCAAAAATGTTATAACATGAACAGAGTTAAGAAAAAGACCTTAATCCTGACTTCTACAAACCTATGAATACAGAATCAACCCCTTCAGTGCTAAGTTTCAAGAAGTTCAGTGAATAGAATAGAAACAATATTTTTCTGATTGTTTGGAGTGGAATAGATCTGCTCAAGAAGAAAGTGAAACTAAGTGTGAGGAGGAAGGGGCTGACAGTCTAAGTTTCTTAAAATATATATTTTGTTTAGCCAAATTAGTTAACAAACATGGATGTTTAAGCAAATAACATATGCTGGAATGTTATTGTTTCAGTTGAATAAATCTATTTAAATTGTTATTATTAAGGGAATGATTATTTTTCTCCTTCCTATACAACAGAAAAGTTGTCAAAATATGAATGATTAACCTATTAAACTGGGGAGAAAAAAACTAATATGGAAAGTTGTTATTCTAAAAATCTTCATCTACTTGCATAATAAAGTTATACCAGCAAGAATTAGTCTTTATGTAAAAAACAAGGATTTAAATCAAGCCTTACTGACTAGTGATTTAAATAAGTTTCATTTAAATCAAATCCACCCTGATGGAAATGCAATTATTTTAGTAAATATAAACTGCTAAATACATTTTCTTATCAGCAGTTAGAGCAGTCTTGTAACTTCTATCAGTGTCCAGCTGAGCAAAGGTAAAGTTTGTAGGAGGAGTTTTCATTCTCCCCTGCCCTATGAGATTGCATAACCCCCGACCCTCTGTCTGGACAGCACTGATTGGCCCTGTGCTGGTCACACTCTCTCAAGGAAAAAAAAAAAACAATACACACAAAACTGAGCATGTGCAGAGTGTCCCCAAGGCTTTGTTCTTTCAGGAGATGAAATGGGGTACATGGAAGAAGTAGAAGATCAGAGAAGTCAGGATCAAACATCTTTTTTACACAATGCAGAGGATTAACCCCTTAGGTTCCACACTGAGTATAACAAGCATGCTTTACTACACATACAGACTGCTTTTACTGTTGTGGGTTTAGTAACACTTTTAAACCCAGCTGTTAATGCGCTTTGTGGTCCTATTGGGCAATTTCCATTTGCTTCTTGTCTTTGTGACAAAGTTGTCATCAGAATAGGAAATGAGTGAAAACATCTGAAAGGGACAGTAACAAAGAAAAATAATTTTTAGAAATTTACAGGAAAGCTAGAACTTTGTCAGTTTTCTATTGCCTTACATGTCACCACTGAAGGAACCTCCTGGCCTTTAATTCTGGTTGGAAATCTCCCCACTAAGGTCTCGGGCAGCAATAAAACCTGACAAACAATTTAGCTGGAATAACACTTTAAAACTAGTAATACAATGATCCATTAAATCATAGAATAGTAAAGTGTTCTAGTTGTTTTAACTGCTTGTACTACGAATGGTCGGCAGCTGTCGGCCAGGTGATGCACTGGTACGTCGCGACCTTTCTTCCGGGTTTGGGGCATGCGTGCCCCATGCTGACCTGTGTTTTGATTGGACACAGCAAAAGTTTGCCAGCCGATTTCAGCCAGTGATTTTGGCTTTAGTCAGTTGATTGGCTGTGAGCAATCATACACAGAGTTCTGTGTTTACAAAAACACAGAACTCTGTGTACAGGGAACAGCGATTTGCCCGTTTCTGCTCCCTGCAAAGCACAGACAGTAAAGTAAAAGCAGAACACATTACACATTGCTAATTATACAGTTAACCCCTTGATTTCCCCTAGATGTTAACCCCTTCAGAGCCACTAGTGATGCCAGTGTCAGTTAGTGACCCTTCCAGATAGTGTCTCTTAGCGCCAGATTGTCTGCCATCCTATCACAGTCACACTACAAGTCGTTGATCACCGTCATTACAGTATAGCTGCCCTGCTTGTTAGAGCTTACAATCTAGGAGGAGGGGTTGAGTAATACAAAAGGTAATAGCTGAGGGGGGATGAGCTGATGGAGGAAATAAATGGCAGTTTACTAGTTAGAAGCAGGATAGGCTTCTTTAAAGAGAGATTTTCAGGGATCATCTAAAGGTGGATAGATTAGGAAACAGCCGGACAGATTGGGGTAGGGAGTTCCATAGGATGGGAGAAGCTTGGGAGAAGTCCTGGAGGAGAGCATGGGAGGAACTGACACAGGAACTTGAGAGCACAAGGTTTTGAGAATATCAAAAAGGGCAGTTTGGATATTTTAAGACCAGGTCGGTGATAGGACAAGCTAGACGGATTTTGATTGGTCAGTGCTGTCCACATGATGGTGCTGACCTATTAAAATGCCTCTTGTCCATACACTGAGAGGCATGGATAGGAGATTAGGCTGCACGAATTTCAAATCCCGCTGCCTGAAATTGGATGGCTGAAAAAAGCCCAGGTGCCAGTATGCCATTTCTAGTTGCCATGGCAACCTGGCGACTGGGATTTGTCGAGCCCTGATATGTACCATAGCTTGTAGACACTATAACTTTCGCACAAACCAATTAATATACACTTAGGGCCCTTTCAAACCGACCAGTTTTTGATGCCTTCCCATTGACCTTGCCCTTTCAAACTGATCAGTTTTTCAGTTAAAAAAGCAGAAAAAAATGCATCCCTTTAACCACTTCAGTAACGGGCACTTCTACCCACTTCCCACCCAGGCCAATTTGAATGACAATTGCACGATCATGCAATACTGTATCCAAGCTAAAATGTTATAATTTTATTCACATTTTGGTGGTATTTAATCACCACTGGGGTTTTTATTTTTTGCTAAAAACAAAAAAAAAAAAAAAAAAAAAAAAAAAAAAAAAAAAAAAAAAAAAAAAAACAACAACACGGTTTTGTTTTCGGTTATAAAAGTTTGCAAATAAATAATTGTTCTTCATAAATTTAGGCCAAGATGTATATTCTGCTACATGTCTTTGGTGAAACTAACCCAAATCAGTATTTATTTGGTCTGTAGGAAAGTTATAGAGTTTGCAAACTATGGGTTATATCCGAAAATTGATCAATCCTGAAGTACTGACAGCTGATAAAATTTCTTGAGGCCCAAAAATGTCAGAACAGTACAGATATCCCCCAAATGACCTCTTTTTGCAAAGTACACAGTCCAACGTATTTCATAAGAAGCATGGCAAGTTTTTTGACGTTGTAATTTTTTTGTCATCATTTTTTGGAAAATTAAGAAATGAAAAAACATTTTCACAGTTTTTTTTTTACATACTGCCACCAGTGCAGTACAGTGTCAGTTATATGCTGACACTGTACTGCACTGGTGACAGTATGTAAAAAAAAAAAATTGTGAAAATAATTTTTCTTCATTTCTTAATTTTCCAAAAAAAAACTGGTGTGGCGATGATCAGGGAACTGGTGTGGCGATGATCAGGGACATTGGTGACAGTACAAAAAAAAAGGATATTTTTTTTTTTTTTATTTTATTAAATTTTTTTTTTTTTTTTTTTTTTATATTACACTATGACCAAAGTAGTATAATGTTACCATAGTAACATTGTACTACTTTGGAAAAGTGATCAGTATTTTTTTCCCCACAATTTGATTGCTTATAGCAAATAATTTCTTTGCTATAAGCATTCAACTGAATGAAATCGATTCATTCAGGTTTTTTGTTGTGATTAGCTGTGATTGGCCACGGCTAATCACATGACACAAATGGGCTGTAATTGTCCCAGCTTGTGCATGTGATCACTGACCATTCACAGCTAGACACACTTGTATACAATGGATGGCATGAAAGGTAGCCATCCATTGTATGCAATTGTCATGTGACATGTTGTGATTGGTCACAGGGTACTGGCAATGGGGCCGGTACACAGATCTGTCATCGGCCGTGTCCAAGGTACACGGCCAGTGACAGATCTCGCCACAGCACGGCCCTGCGGGCACGCACAAGGCGCGATCCGGGAAGGACGTCATATGACGCCCTACCAGAGAGATGAGCTGTTCGCCCTGCCGTCAATCGCCAGGCCAGGCAGCAAGTGGTTAAATCCTTTGCAATGCATTACACTGGCCAGTTGCGCACACAACTGAAAGGAAACTGACATAGGGTTTAAAAGGATGCGTTTTTCTTCCTATTTTTTGTAACTGAAAAAGTGAACAAAAACTGAAAGCAGCCTTATTGGGATTGGACAGAATCTGAGGAATTGTAATTTTTAATGGATATGTTTTATAACAGTAAGTAGAAAATATTGGGTTTCTCTTTTTTTTCCCCAAAACTTTTAGGTCTTTTTTCATTTATATCACAAAAAATAAAACCCAGTGGTGTCCAAATACCACCAAACGAAAGCTCTAATTGTGTGAAAATAAATGATTAAAAAAATGTCATTTGAGTACAGTGTTGCATGACCGAGCAATTGCCAGTTACGGTAGCACAATAATGAATGGCTAAAAAAACAACCTGGTCATCAAGGAGGTCAAGTGGTTAAAGTAACACATTTCTGGAAAGTGGATTTCTTGGCCCTCTTGGAGCTTGTGTATACTAGTGTTTGGGAGGGGGTGGGGTGGTAAAAATAGGAAGTTGAGATGCATTCCCGCTACAGGATAATGTGAATGGGGCCGTAATCACACTGGTTTACTCAGTTTGCAATATACACCCCATTCATTCACTTTTCCATGATCCATAAAGTGGGAACCCTGGATTAGTCATGGTAGGGGGGGGGGGGGGTCACGTGACATCTTCACCTCGGATCCCATAGAAGCTCATCCAAGCACTGCTTGTCCCTCAGTATGGGGTGGTGATACCAGGCACATATAGGACCTGTATAGAAGACGGACCCTGTGCTGCCATACAGGACTATGGCGAATGATTGGGTGAGGACCTGATAAAACCAACCACATATAAACATCACCGTACGGTCCTTACCCTCCGCATCTCCAGTATCTGCTCCTTTCCCGGTGCCATAACGGCCCAGAGCACACACCCCAGTCCCGTCCAGCCCAGCACTACCAAGGAGGCCTTCGCTATCCGGCCCGCTGTAGACATGGCGACCAGACAGCCCGCGCTTACTCTACTCACACAGCGCCATCACATGTACAATCTCTGCAGCTGCATTTACACTACGAGCTACACACAGACTGTTACGGAACCGACGGCTGCACTGGACGACATTGTATAAGAAGGTTATATCAAGCATTGTATTCCTGACACCAACATGTCCTCACTTCCTGGTTTGGCATTCAACAGCGTCCTCCATTTTGAAGTAGACCGAGACTCGCCGGCGTGGAGGCAGGTAGCTTACAAAATGGCGCCCGAACTGGAGACCGAGAACTACATATAAAACAGGTCACCTCTGTTCGTGTAGGTCGTCTACTTGAATTGAGGGCGGCCATTTTGTGGGTTAATCTGAAGGTTTAGGGATTTCCATATAAAGAGTTAGTGTTGTAATGATTTTTTTTTGAAGATAGTTTCTTTACTTTGTTCAACCTGCACAGGTTGTACAACATATGTGACAGTGACAGGGTTCATGCACATAGATGCATTAGGGCAGTGGTCTCCAAACTGCAGCACAGGGGCCAGATGCGGGCATGCGGCCCTTTGCTTTTATCCGTCCCTTGGGGCACCAATGCATCCACTGATATGAAAAATTGGGCATAATTTCCCCCACTGGCATTAATGATGGGGCTAGGGTTGATACCTCATCATTTTAAAATCAAACACAATACACAGGTTCTGGGGCAAATTTAATGCAGATAAGGCGTTAGGTGAGTTTAACCGCTTCCGCACCGCCCTATAGCAGAAATACTGCTACATGGCAGCATGGGTGTGGAAAATCCTGTAAATATAAGAGATTTTGCAGGTAGGGGGTACGCATACGCCCTTACACGCACCGCCATTTGCAGCCTGTGGCTGGCAATCACCTGGTCCCGGACGGTGATTCCCCACCGGCACCTGACGATCTCCGAGGATTTCCAACGGGGAGAGACCTGTATATAAACAATACATATCTCTCCCCTGTCAGCTCCTGCACACTGCTTTGTATGGCTCTGTGTAACAGAGCCATACAATGCAGTGTGCTTTCAGTGAAACACACACAGCCTCATAGTAAAACAGCACACAGTTAACCCTTTGATCGCCCCATATGTTAACCTCTTCCTGCCCAGTGCCATTAGTACAGTGTCAGTGCTTTTTATTAGCACTGATCACTGTATTGGTGTCTGGGGATGTCGGTGACAGTTCCCCCCAGTGTCAGAATGCCCACCTGAGTCCCGCTATAAGTCGTTGATTGCCGCCATTACTAGTAAAAAAAAATAAAAATTCTAGTCTATATACCGCCATTTGTAAACAGTATGACTTTCATGTAAACCAATTAATTTACATGTATTGGGATTTTTTTAGCAAACGTAGCAGAATACATTTTGGCATAAATTTATGACGAAATTTGATTTTTTACTGGACATGTTTAATAGCAAAAAGTCCAAAATATTGTTTTTTTTTCAAAATTGTTGATTTTTTTTGTTTATAGCGCAAAAAAAAAAAAAACGCACAAATACTACCGAAAGAAAGCTCAATTCATGGGAACATTAGGACATAAATTTCATTTAGGTTGCATGACCGCGCAATTGTCAGTTAGAGTAACGCAACGCCGTATCGCAAAAAATGGTGCATTTTTGGTGCATGTTTGGTCCTGTAATAAAAAACTCACCAAAACGCATTCCTCCGTTGAAATGATTGGAAACCGCATAAAAACGCAACACACCTGTGGGAAGTTCTCAAGCCCGGGCTCACAGAATTGCATGACAAGGGACAATATATTCAGTGGTGCCCTTTTAATCAACTCAGCACAGTGCGATTTTGGAAAAGGTTCCTGGTAGACTTCAGTGTGATTTCAGCCCCATAGACTTCTACCGTATTTTTCGCCGTATAAGACGCACCTGACCATAAGACGCACCTAGGTTTTAGAGGCAGAAAACAGGAAAAAAAAAAAATTCTGAACTAATGGACTGCAGACACAGTACAGGAGATGACCAGAGACTGCGGACACAGTGCAGGAGATGACCAGAGACTGCGGACACAGTACAGGAGATGACCAGAGACTGCGGACACAGTACAGGAGATGACCAGAGACTGCGGACACAGTACAGGGGATGACCAGAGACTGCGGACACAGTACAGGGGATGACCAGAGACTGCGGACACAGTACAGGGGATGACCAGAGACTGCGGACACAGTACAGGGGATGACCAGAGACTGCGGACACAGTATAGGGGATGACCAGAGACTGCGGACAGCACAGGGATGACCAGAGACTGCAGGGGACCAGAGACTGCGGCACAGGGATGACCAGAGACTGCGGACAGCACAGGGATGACCAGAGACTGCGGACAGCACAGGGATGACCAGAGACTGCGGACAGTACAGATGACTGCTGACCTTTGGGGAGGTGGGGAGCGGGTACCTGAATTTGACAGGTACCCGCTCTGACTTCTGCAGAGTTTTTGTTTGATCTTACCTGTTCCTCGATCCAGCCGCTCGCTGTCTTCCCGGCTTCTGTAATGGCGCTCGGCATGACAGCCGGGTGCCCAGTGCGCATGAGCGAGAAGCACTTGCGCCTTGTGATTGGTCCGGCGGCTTCTGGGATCTGTCATGTGTCCCAGGTACCGCCTTACCATTCACAAAAAGCACCGCTTCTTGCGCATGCGCACTTGGCACCCGGCTGTCATGCCCAGTGCCCACACTACAGAAGCCGGGAAGACAGCACGCCGCTGGATAGAGGAACAGGTAAGGTCCCGCTGCAGAGCTGAGCGGCCGGCCCGGTATTCTGACACGGCCGCGGTGGAAATACCGGACCGGCCGCTCCATATTCGCCTTATAAGACGCACTGACATTTCCCCCCCAGTTTTGGGGAAGAAAAAGTGCGTCTTATACGGCGAAAAATACGGTATGTTATCTCACAGAAGTCACATCAGCATAGATAAGACTGTGTATGAGACTTTGATGGATTCACAGTTTTTTTTAATCCTCACCTCTCCTCCCTGGTCATTCTTCATCTATTGATTTTGATACAGCTGCGATTTTGGAGCCTTCCTTTGATCAATCAACCCTTCTTTTGATCAACCTTTTCTTCCTTCGATCAATCCTTCCTTCTATTGATCAATCAACCCTTCCTTCCTTTGATCGATTAACCCTTCCTTTGATTAATCAACCATTTATTTCGATTGATTGACCATTCCTTCCTTCGATCGATTTACCATCCCTTCCTTCGATTAATCGACCATTCCTTCCTTCGATCAATCAACCCTTTCACCAATCGATTGATTGATTTCCTTCAATCGATCAGCTCTTCCATCTATTGATCGATCAGCCCTTCCATTGATCAACTGATCAACCCTTGCATCGATTAATCGACCCCTCCTTCCATCAACCTGTCCTTCCTTCAATCGACCAACCTTTCCATCAATCGGCCCTTCCTTCAATTGATCAACCCTTCCTTCGAACGATAGACCCTTCCAGTGATCGATCAACCCTTCCATCATTTGATCGACCCTTCCTTCCTTCAATTCTTCATTTGATCAACCCTTCCTTCCTTCGGTCGGCCAATCAAAGAACAATCAAAGGATCAAACAAAGGAAGGATCAAAACCGTTTCAGTGTGAACCTAGCCTTTAGGCAGCAAGGAGTCTATGGGGCTGAAATCGCACTGGAGTTGGAATATAGTGTGATCTACCTTGTCATGCAATTCTGTGAACCTGGGTTTGAGAACTTGTAAGTCGCATCGAAGTCACATAAATAGTGGCACTGGAAATTGCATGAAAATCACATTAGAATAGTGGGAAGTGATATGGGGAAAACACAACGCAAACATGGCAAAAACGCATCAAAAAGCATAATGCACTGCATTAAATTTAACACAATGTGGGAAAAATGCAGCAATAATACATTATTAATGCGCGTAAGCATTTTTTCATACAGAGCAGTGTGAAAGTAGCCTTATACTGGTCTAGCTTGGACTAATGTACTCGTGTATATACACTATATTGCCAAAAGTATTTGGACGCCTGCCTTTACCTCACACACATGAAATTTAATGGCATCCCAGTCTTAGTCCGTAGGGTTCAATATTGAGATGGCCCACCCTTTGCAGCTTATAACAGCTTCAACTCTTCTAGGAAGGCTGTCCACAAGGTTTCGGAGTGTGTCTATGGGAATGTTTGACCATTCTTCCAGAAGTGCATTTGTGAGGTCAGGCATTGATTTCGGATGAGAAGGCCTGGCTCGCAGTCTCCGCTCTAATTCATCCCAAAGGTGTTCTATTGGGTTGAAGTCAGGACTCTGTGCAGGCCAGTCAAGTTCCTCCACCTCAAACTCGCTCATCCATGTCCATATGGACCTTGCTTTGTGCATCGGTGTCCAGTCATGTTGGAAGAAGAAGGGGCCATCCCCAAACTGTTCCCCACAAAGTTGGGAGCATGAAATTGTCCAAAATGTCTTGGTATGCTGATGCCTTAAGAGTTCCCCTCACTGGAACTAAGGGGCCAAGCCCAACCCCTGAAAACAACCCCACACCATAATCCCCCCTCCACCAAACTTTACACTTGGCACAATGCAGTCAGGCAAGTACTGTTCTCGTGGCAACCACCAAACCCAGACACGTCCATCAGATTGCCCGACAGAGAAGCGTGATTCGTAGCTCCAGAGAACACATCTCCACTGCTCTTGAGTCCAGTGGTGGCATGCTTTACTCCACTGCATCTGACGCTTTGCATTGCACTTGGTGATGTAAGGCTTGGATGCAGCTGCTTGGCCATGGAAACCCATTCCATGAAGCTCTTTACGCACTGTTGTTGTGCTAATCTGAAGGCCACACAAAGTTTGGAGGTCTTTAGTTATTGACTCTGCAGACAGTTGCTGGCTTCTGCACACTGTGCGCTTCAGCATGCGCTGATCCCGCTCTTGTCATTTTACGTGGCCTGCCACTTCATGGCTGAGTTGCTGTTGTTCCCAGTTGCTTCCACTTTGTTATAATACCACTAATAGTTGACAGTGGAATATTTAGCAGCAAGGAAATTTCACGGATGGACTTATTGCACAGGTGGCAACCTATCACGGTACCACGCTTGAATTCACGGAGCTCCTGAAATAAGCCCATTCTTTCACAAATGATTGTAGAAGCAGTCT